AAACAACTTTGGGGGTTGCCTGGGCAGTTTTTATGTGAAAACCATTGAGGATCCAGGTAATGAGGAAGCGCTTCTGTACAAATCTAATTTCTCCTGCTGGCTGGGGTGATCACAGTGAGTCCCACAATGTTTAAACTGATGGTTTAGTCAATAAACAGCATTTGTTTCTGTTTACAGGCTTTCTTATGAAGACTATAGTTTACGGGGCTCTCAGCTATCTGTTGCTTTGTAACCAAGACACTTTGCCTCTGTTCTTAAGGCAAATAGCACGGATACCCAAGGTGCAAAGAAATCTCTTTGCCATTTAAGTTAGACCCCCACATCCGCCCCAGACCCACCTCGGTGTCCCCCCCACCCCCACCCCAGGAATTCATGGCCCAGGTTCAGTTTTACCTGGAAACCTGCGAGGTGCCTGAAGAGAGATCAAAGCTAGAAATGACAGCTGAGAATTCATGAAAATGTCAATAGGTCTGGCTTTGGGGACAAAATAAATTTTTAAATGTCGTTTCGCAGCAAGACGTAGACTGACGACATTTAAAAGCATTTCGTGATGGAAGAGCCCTAGGACCGCCTGTCATCTGCATAGGTAAGGGTCATTCAGAGCGCTGGGATGACCCCTTTTAGCCGGCGAGTTTATAGTTTCCCAGTGGAGGAGGGCAGGGGAGGAGTAACAGGACCTTTCAGGTGTGTCCTCCAATCGCCACAGCCCGTTTTGCCGGCGAATTGCCCCCCTCCCCCTTCCGTTAATTAAATAAACGCTCAGAGCACTTTACAGCACCGGACTCGGCCCTTGGGAAGGTCTTCCTTCGTAGCTCCCATTCTTAAAATCCTCAAGTCCCAGAAGGTTGAAGAGCCGACGACATGAATTTCCAGTTCCTAGGGGTGAGGAAAGAGGTGCCGGGTGCAGGGCCCACGGGGCTCCGCAGGGAGGACAGGAGTGCGGGAGGCCAGGCAGCCAAGGGTCAGGATGCCCGCCGTGTGAGATGGGCGCCGGTGGAGGGTGCAGGGTGGCTCCTGGACGCGGTGCTCTTCGGCGTCCGAAGCCGAGTCGGCGCCGCCCGGCGCCTGGCCACAGTGGGCCTCCTCTGCTGGCGGCGACCAACTACGCGCTTTAAGGCTGCCAGGCTTAGGTGGCTTGGAGGTGTATGGCGTTCTACGACCTCGAGCTAAGAAGGCCGCTGGAGACACGGGGCTCGCCCTTTAGTCCTGCCGCCTGCGCTCGGAGCGGTTAGGCTGCACACGGATGGGCTCCGGGATGTTGGTGGAGAGGTGACAGGCACTCTGCCGTCGAGCTTGGCCTCTGGAGGGCGGGGGAGGCGAGAACCAGGCTTGTCTCTAACAGATCCCCAGAGCCGCTAGGGAGGTGGCCTCGAATAGCATGCCAGTGTGTGGCTCTGAGGTGGTCGGATAACTAAAAATTCACCTTCGCCTGCTGAGAAATGGGTCGATGGGTGTCAAGTTAGGGACTGTGCTCATGACCTCTGCGCTTGGCTCTGGCCATAAGCGCCGGGACTAACCTGGGACGCGGAAGGGTCAGGGCGCTCCTCGGAAGCTTGGGTGCTACAGGCCCCCTCAGCTCTCTAGGCCTTGCTTAACTCATTTGGACAAAGCAGGTGTTGGCGCGAAGAGCTACAGGCTGCAAAGTCCTTTTAAGAACACAGTTTGGTGTGGCGCGCTTGGAAGGGAGCAGTAAATGGAGTTGGCGTTGGGCTGGGGCTAAGACGTGAAGCATCTATGGGTGTGCAGCGGCACTTTGCACGCCATTAGAACCATCTATTTTTTTATTGCTATTTTGGAGTGGCTGTGAACGGATGCATATGGCGCCGGAGGGTGTGCACCTTAGTGAGTTTAGACAGTTCGGGTGCTCTTTGACGCCAAATGCCTGTTCAGTGGGTGCGTGAACGGTCGCCCTCCTCCTGGATTGCTGCAGGCCCCGGCTTTTCGGCGCTACCTCACCGGGCCCCGCCACTTACTGCGGTCCCTGCCGGAGGTCATGCTATTCCGAGGGGCGGGACAGACACCTTGCACGCGGTGCGGCGTCCGCTAAGGCGCTCGGGGGGCCTCCACCTGCCGTTCCCGCTCCTCCCCCCCTCCCTGGGAAGAGGAGTTGCAGGCCAGCCTCAATCCAGCTCTACCCGCCCTGCGGTCTTTCTCAGTTAGAGGTGGTGGAGTGAGTGGCCGAGGACTCCCGCCTGGGGTCCCGAGCTCTGTTTCCAGATGCACCCGCCGGCGCCTCGTAGGAGGTGACGCACAGTCTGGGCGCTGCTGTCCTTGCAGACGCTTCGTCGCCTCCTGTCTTGGGTTTCTTGGGCCATCCGAGCAGCTGGAGGCCTGGGTCCAGCGCTTCATGCGTGTGTGTGAGTGCAAGTTCCCTAGGGGGCGACAAAGGGGAGCCGCTGACAGCCCACCACCCCATATCCTTGATCGTGCACGCGGCCAGCAAGGCTTGCCCAGGGGATCCCCACGCGTTATTACAGTTAAGCGGCGGCGAAGCCGGGAGGTTCCGGAGGGGGCACCCTTCCGGGGGCTGTGGCTGCCTACAGGCGCGGCCACGCAGTCTCGAGTCTTCAAGCGGCGAGGGGCGTGGGCACTGGAGGGAGGTCTGTTTTGGGTACGGGAGCCCCCCCCCCTTCCACCCCTCCCTCCCTTGCTCGCGGCTGAGAATAGTTGAACTCAAGGAAGGTCTGAGGCTTCCGGCACCCTGACCGGGGCGCGCGTGCCTGGGCTCCGGCCCAGAAGCCGAGGGTGTGAGTGTTTGAGCAGGGTCTCCCTAGCCAGGAATACTGAGGACTTGTTTGAGCCGCCTTCCACACCCAGGGCGCGCAAGTCCCGATCTATTGTAGCTTGAGCGCGTGCCTCTTGGAGAGGGGACAGCGCCGGGTTCCAGGGAGCTGCCTTGGGGATGAATGGCTTTTGCCAAGCGGTTCCTAAACCGCTGGCCCCCAAGGGCTCCCGGAACCGAGGCGCTCAGACCCTCATCGCCCGTGCCATAGACGCCCCCTGGCCCGGAGCAATCTCCGTCCCTCAGGGCGGGCGCTGCTGAGAGAAGGAAAGACAGTCAGGTTCTGGGCTGGGGGGTTGGCACCTTTCTGCTCAGCCCTGGCCCCAGCCTGCCCGGGGATCAAGTTGACGGCCCAGGCTAGACAACTTATTCAAACTGCACCCTAGGCCAGTTTTGGAATTAAACCCAGGGCTAGGAAGCCTAGCGTGGAGGAGAGCCCCCCGCGTCTCTGATCTGGAAATCAGGGGCACCCGGATGAGGTGCCGCAGCCTCCCTGTCGGGAGTGCCTGGGACCCTAGCCTTCCATGCCCTGGGCGCCAGTGTGCCTGCTTGGTCTCCGGTGCTATTCCTGCATTGCGCGGGTACACCTTGGCTCCACTCCCAATACCAGGAACCCTGCTTTCTACGGTTTTTTCTTTTACCTCCAGGCCCCCGTGTTTTGGTAGCGAGGTGTCAGGGGTCGTGTCTACGTTGTCCTTTGTACTTCTTAGTGCAAAGCCCCACAAACATGGCCCCAGAAGCCCCAGTGGTTTCACTTCCTGGTTTTGTTCTCACACCTGGTGGGAACGGTCACCTCGGATGTGGCTACTCTAAGGTGAAAGGGGGAACGTTTAGCTTGGAGGACGCCTATTGTTTAGTTCTTCATTTATTTTAGGCCCATCTGGGTCTAAAGAAATGCTACATTTCAGACAAATCCGAGGTGGAGCGGAAAGGCGGTGGATGCAATCGTTCTGTGGATGGGGGCTGGGGGTAGTGTCCACTCCAGGCCGACACTAGACGGATCGGTATTGATTATTGCGAAATCGGTTTCCGTATCAAATCCTAATAGTCCACTTCTCCGATCCTCTCAGAATATTTAGTTCCCGGAGCCAGTTGGAACGTTCCAACAGAATTCGCCCTCGAAAATTACCGACTGTCCCCTTGGGGTGAAAAAAGGTCAATTACAACAATTGAGCCAATGGATTTCGTTTCTTTAATTTTTTTTTTTAATATTGCGCGATGCTTTCAAGTTTAGGTGGCAAATACACATGGAGGGTAGAGGCCGCGTTTGTGTGGAAGGAAGTTTCGTTTTCCTACTTCATCTACGGAACGGGGGTGCTCAGCTCTCCAGCGGGGGCCCCTCTCCTGCCCCTCCCTCTCTCCCCCATGTCCTCCCTCCCCTGGGCCGTGGCGCTAGGGTTGTGCTCGGCCCCGCACCTTTTTTTTCGGGTGAGTTGAGGCTTCCGAGTGTCTGGACTGTCCGAGGCTGCTGCCGAGCCGACGCTGGGCAGGGCTGGGCTGGGCGAGGGCGAGCGGGTACCCCCCGGCCGCAGCCAGTAGCTGAGATGCAACTTCGGGCGATGGCGGCGAGTCTCTGCTGTCCCAGACTTCAGGACGAGTGGACCCCGGCGCGCTGGGGGCTGACTCCCCTGAAGGCCGTCCTCCCCCTTGTCCTCGGAGGTACTGAATCGCGCTGTGCCCACAGAGTGAGACGGGAGGGGAACGTCTCTCGGAGGGGTTGGTCTCCAGCTGAAGAATCACAGTTTACACTTGGCCTCGGTGGAGCGGGTGGCGGGGGGGAACGTTTTAAGGGATAAGAAGACCTCAGCTGTTGAGACACCTCGAACGCGGGGTCTCTAACTCCGCATGACAACGTCTTTTGGAAGATGAAGGAAGGCGCTAGGCGAAAGAGGGGGGCTCTTAGCTATTTGGATCCGGGTCTTCAGAACGGCCAAGCTCAGGCGTGTGCGTGGTGGGGGTGACGGATGGAAGGCGCGACGGGGGACCCTGGCCGCGCAGGTCCGAAGCTGTCCGGGAGGTGCCGCCCCCCTCCTCTTTCGGCCCCCCGCATCGTAGGTCTCTGCGCCGCGCCCGACTGGGGTGCAGGGCGGAGCTAAGCTGGGACTGGCTGGGGGCCGCCCCGCCCGGCGCCGGGGCCTTCGTGCCGGCCCCCGGGGAGGAGTTATGATAATTTCCTTCTCATTAAGGCGCCCGGGTCCCCCGGCTATCGCCGGGACACACTGTGCGGGCGCGGCTTCCCGGGTCCTTGGCAGCGGCCTTTACACCCGCGGCAGCGGCACCTACGCTCGCAGAGCCGCGGATGCGCGTCCGGTGACCGGTTCAGCGAGGCCCGCGCGAGGCGGGGGCGGCGGCAGACACCTGGCTACCGTGACCCCAATTTTGGATTTACCGCTCGGGGGGTGGGGGGAGCTTGGATTTAACTGGCGACTGTTTTGGGGGACGCAGGACGCCATGTTGTGGAAAATAACCGATAATGTCAAGTACGAAGAAGACTGCGAGGTGAGCTGGGCACGGGGGCACAGCCCGGCCCCGCCCGAGTGCAGTCCCGGAGGCGGGAGCCGCTGGACCGAAGTCGGGGGCCAGGGCGCAGGAGCAGCAAGCAGGCACCCGCCGCTGCCCTTCCATGGGACGGGGTCCACTTCCCCGGACACCCCTAGTCCGTTTCTCCGGGGGCCCCCCTTCCTGAATCAGGCCTTTTTCTAAAAGATCCAGCCCCGGGAACGGGGCCTGGTAAGAGAATGGCAGATCCCACACTCTGAGCTTACCGGTCGGTTTCATGCGAAGCAAAACAGCCCTTCTGCGGGTTTTCTCGGAAGAGCGCCGGGTCTACAACCTTCCCTTAGACGTGGCTTTTACGCACGAAATCTCCGTCCAAAGGGGTCAGACTAGGCGACCTGCCGGCAACAGCTTTGCGGAGCCTTCCTCCTAGGCGGGCTTGTCACCTGCCCCGCTACCTTCGTGGGGAAAGAAGAAAACATAAGTTTGGCTTTCAAGAGAAGTGGGGGCTGGGGAGTGTTGGGGGGGGGGCCTGAGGCCTGATGGGGCCGTAAGCGCTCGGAGTGCTCCAGCCTGTCGGACAGGTTGAGCTAGAGTTTCGGAGAGTGGGAGGGAGGGAGGCGGCGAGCGGGAAGAGGAAGACGCAGGCGGCGGGAGGCGTGCGCCGGGGCGCGGGGATAGGGGGGCCTGGGCTGGTGGCCTCCAAGAGCGCCCCGCGCCCGGGGGACCTCGAGGGGCTGCCCCAGTGTGCAGGTCCGTACTCTAACGCTAGGGGGCGACGGTGCCATGTTTCTCCTTGTCCCCCACTACCCTGTGACCCCCAGAGCACGCGGAGCCACGTCCTTTAGGAATTAAGTTGGACAGCCGTGGGGCGAGGGGACGTGCGCAGGCTAGGTTAGGCTGCTCAGTTTTCGGGGTCCTTAATTCTTCCTCTGTGCCCCGAGTGGTGGAGACACTAACTGTGGGCCAGGCACGGCGGTGTCACTTCCTATTCCCACTTGGTCGCGACACGCTAGTAGGGAGTGCCGCTCCGGCTCCGGCGCGTTCCTTCTCGAGTTCCTCCACGGCGCTGGGTGGCAGGCCCTGCTAGGGAGTGTCACTCGCCGGGAGGTCTTTGTCCTGAGGGCGTGGAAGAAAGATTCCCCGAGGCGGGGGAGATGCGCACTTCCCGCGCTGCGCGCTTTATCCGCGCGCGCCGCTTCTCCACCTTCTTTTGCTTGGCGACGCCAACATGTGCGGGCTGGTGAGCGACCGCGCTCGGCACCGAATGCACCGCGTGCCGACTTCCTCCCGGGGCCCCGGGCCCACCTTCTCTTGGCCCAATACCTGGAGCACCGACTTGACATCTCGGAGCGCCTTGGGCGTCACAGTGCCCAGACCTTCGCCGCCGGGCTTTGAGGGCGCGCCCCCCCAGGTCTTTCATCAGTCTCGGTTTCCTCCGCAGACGCGCGGTTTACAACGAAATCCCCAGGGCACATTGCTCCCGGGTGCTCTCCGGCCAGAGGGCAGGCCCGGAGCGTCGGGTCCGGGCTAATGTGATGGGTCCCCAGGGGAGCGTGGCTCAGCGCGGCGGCTGCGGCCGGTTCGCAGTAGAGGGGTTTCGTACTAACCGGGTGTTCGTTTCTCTCTCCCAGGATCGCCACGACGCGAGCAGCAATGGGAACCCGCGCCTCCCCCACCTCTCCTCGGCCGGGCAGCATCTGTACAGCCCCGCGCCGCCCCTCTCCCATGCCGGAGTCGCCGAGTATCAGCCACCACCCTACTTTCCACCTCCCTACCAGCAGCTGGCTTACTCGCAGTCAGCCGACCCCTACTCGCATCTGGGAGAAGCGTACGCCGCTGCTATCAACCCTTTGCACCAGCCAGCGCCCACCGGCAGCCAGCCGCAGGCCTGGCCGGGCCGCCAGAGCCAGGAGGGGGCTGGCCTGCCCTCGCACCACGGGCGCCCCGCCGGCCTGCTACCCCACCTCTCCGGGCTGGACGGCGGCGCCATGAGCGCCCGCAGGGATGGCTACCGCCGCTCGGACTTGCTGCTGCCCCACGCGCACAGCCTGGACGCCGCGGGCCTGGCGGAGAACCTGGGCCTCCACGACATGGCGCACCAGATGGAGGAGGTGCAGGTGAGCGGCTCCTCAGCCCCTGCCCCCTCCTGCCCGGACCCTTTGACCCTCCCCCCCTCCCCCAGCTCCAGCCACTCTCCGACCCCCCTGCCCAGGCTCCCCCGAACTTAAAGGAAACTCATTTCTCCCCCAGATTGTCGACGAGCAGCACCTGCTTTTGCATGATCAGACTGTAATTCGCAAAGGTAGGTAGCGAGCGAGATCTTTTTTCCTCCTCGGGCCACACACGGCCTGCAGTGGCTCTTAACTGTGGTGTGAAGTTATTAACTTAATGGTGAGGTGGGGGCATTTGGTGGTCAACTGGGGTGGGACATGTGGCCGAAGGGATGAGGACTGAGGGAAGGCGGGTTTTAGGAGTGAGAAGAGAGGGCTTTCTGAACTAAAGGAGAAAGGACAGCTGTCTCTCAATCTGGGATATGTTGTTACTCCTTGCATTTGAGGGTGTTTTTACAACGTTAGAGGAAGTCTTCCAGAGTAAGTTAGCACTGATTTAATTTGGAAAACACACACACACACACACACACACACACACACACACACACACACACACACGGTTGGTTCTGTGACAATTTTAATTGTCGAATGAGTTGTGATTTTTATTTCCGATTTCAAATACATGTAGAGCAAAGATCCTTCTTTCTGACCTGTAAGAAAATGTTTTGAAACAGTTTGGCCTTGAAAGAACCAACTGGGGGAGGGGGGGCGGTGATCTTGTCAAGTTAGGCTTGTGCAGGATCAGGGGGGAGGGGATTTGGAAAATTGGATTACTGTACTTGGTGACTGAGTGGCTCGTGAAAGTAAGTTACATACTGATGGGATTACCGGCCTGGTTGTTTTGAGAAATGGAGAAGGCCTAAATTAAAGGTACTTAAGGTACGTACGTTACTTGAAGTGAGGCTGCTTGAAATCAACTGGGGAAAATGGGTTTTGGGGGAAAAATAAACGGAATTTCCAAGTAAACTTAGAACAGAACAGGTTCGTTTGTATTTAAAATTTACCCTGATCAGTTGCACTGAAATGTTTTTGGCAAAGGATCTGAGTGTGTCTTGTGAGTTGGGTTACTCCTTGAGTGAGAGGGGAATAAAAACAAGCCCCCATTTATTTAGTATTGAAGCAGTCTTTGGAAAACAAACGTTCTAATTAAACAGATTTTAACAGTGGCTAGAAAATGAAAACCCTCCATGCGTGGGATCTTGACTAATTAACAAGGTGTTAAGTTGCGAATTTCAGATTCGATTATCTGAAGAATATAGCTTTTAAAAAAACCTGCTTGCAATTTATAGCTCGACATGCCATGTTATTTGTTTAAAGACTCTTTCAGCCTTGGTTTGTCGTGGTCTGAAAGATCTCTTTTGCTTGGATGCAGCTCTCAAGACTGCCACTTGTTGTCTGCATTCACAGGTCCTGTGGCCGTAACCAAGAACCCCTTGAATCTCCCTTGTCAGAAGGAGTTGGTGGGGGCCGTGATGAACCCCAGCGAGGTCTTCTGCTCAGTCCCTGGAAGACTGTCCCTCCTGAGCTCCACGTCTAAATATAAAGTGACAGTTGCTGAAGTCCAGAGGCGATTGTCCCCGCCTGAGTGCTTAAATGCCTCATTACTAGGAGGTGTTCTCAGAAGGTATATGGGGCCATATTCTGGTAAGGTGGTTGGGGGGCTGCAGAGGAACTAGATAAAAGGACCAGGAGATTTTTTTTTTAACATTTATGTAACTTTTACACCTAACACTGAATTCTAATAGTCTCAGCGAGTTTTAGTACATTTCTTCTCTTTTTTAGAAAGTGCCAAATGTAGAAGGAAGTGCTAAAACGGCGCTAACAAATTCTCACTGGGTTAGAACCAGAGTCTGTGTGTACAGAGGTGACCAACGGAAGGGAAGGGGAGCTCCAGGGGCTGTGTTCCCCCCAGAGAGTTGTTTTTTGGAGCTGCTGCCGTTTTCACAAGTGAAAATTGACAGGCTCCAGCACACCTTAAAATAGTCTGTGATTTAAAAAAAAAAAATGTTGGCAATGATCAGAAAGATTTTTGAATGTTACAGGGATTATTAATTATTAATTAAATGAGTCTGTAGATCATTTGCTTATGCGCTACCTAATGTAGATAGTCTGACGGATTTCAGCATTCTAGGAACTGGGGATGTTAAAGTGTGGTGTCTTGAATAGCCACAGTGGACTTTCTTTCTCTCAGAGCCAAATCTAAAAATGGGGGCCGGTCTCTGCGGGAGAAGTTGGACAAGATTGGGCTGAATCTTCCAGCCGGGAGACGGAAAGCTGCACATGTAACCCTTCTGACGTCTTTAGTAGAAGGTCAGTGAAGTTTTGGTCAAGTTTTGTGGTGTTTTTAGTTTGCCGTGTTATATCTTGAATACGTCTCAGAAGAAAAATTAAGCTTGTAACTCAGTAGCCAGTGGAGCGAGGGGAAGGCAATTTGAATTGTCATAGAAGTTCATTACAATGAGTTACGGTAATTTTGTTAAGTTACCATTTAAATATCTGGCCACATTATGTATTCCTGTTCTGGGTTCCCCAGGAGATCAGTGGGAAAAAGAAATTGTTTTTTCTAACCTAAGAAATCACACTTTAGAGTGTTGAGACATGTCCTGTTAAATGATCCAGTTTTGTAAAGATGCAATCGATCAATGGGTTCGCCTTTGAAAAGCTAGTTACTTATCGGTGGGCAGAAATGTGAATGGTTCTGGACTTTGTAAGGATTGTGGTTAGCGGAGAGGCCCTGTATACGAGACTGGCCCAACTCACAATTCCTTTACTCCCCCCCGCCCCCCCCCATTAAAAGAAAGAAGTATCTGACCTGGACCCACCGATAAGCCCCTCTCCCCAATCCTAAAATAGTGGAATGTGACATTTCAGTTTCTTGAATGGGCCTGTACCCCCAAACCTGGAGAGTAGCCAAGGATGCATTATAGCCTTTAAAAGGGGGCAAGAAAAAGAAGTAATTTTTTAAAGAACCAAACATGCACACTTACTGTGCTTGGGGAAATGGAGTAAAACACTGATCAGGCTTATCCCGCGGCCTCCAGCCACCGTAGCATCTTGCTCAATCAGCAAACGCAGGGCTCGGGCTGGGGGAGCCCGTGAGGGCTGTGCTGCCCTGGTAGCCAGGCAAGCTTTTGAACACTTTCTTTCCCTGGTCTAATGGCGCTGCTTTGGTGCTGAAAGACTTGGCAGGGCCTTGCTCTACCTTTCTACGCGCGTCTTTGGAGGTCAGGGCAAGGAGAAAGGAGCTGCCTGTTAGCTGCCTTGTGGGGACCAGCTGTCATGCATGGAGAATCGTGGGTTCCGCGTGCATGGAGCATAAATGCGTCTCCACTAGGTTTTCCTAGCCTGGCAGGGGCGCTTGAATAAGACAGTGTGTACCAGAACAATGGTTCTCAGATTCTGATTTAGTAAGTCCAGGGAGGAGAGTGGTGAGAGGGGCACCGTCAGGGTTTCTGAAAAGCGCTGCCCGCCTTGCACTGTAGAGTCAGTACTGGGCACCTCTGGTGGGAGGTGACTCCCGTTGGTTTTCGCTCCCTCTGTTCCCCCAATAACTTGGGACACGGGGTGTAGTCCAAGCTGGGAGTTGGAGCTCTTAACATTTCCAATAGGAAACACGCTCCTGCCTCCCTTTCTTTAAAGGAACATTCTAGAGACTTGCTGCCTTGGATTAACGAGGCACCCTAGTTTGGAAAGAAAGACTGTCACGTTTCCTAAAGAGAAGCGCTGAGTTGCTGTTGTCAAGTGTGCTCATCTTTAAATTTTCCTACTTTTCCACAATAACTTATCAAGAGAAAGCATGGGTGTTTCTCGAGATAAACTGTTGAAGTTGGGCAGGAGGCTGGTTAACAGGGTTCAAGCATTTCAGGGTCTTCCTACGATTTCACCCTCTATTCCTAGGCGAGAGTACCTTCTTCCCGGGAAAATCTTCTCACCCGGATTGTTGTCCCTGTATACATGACTTTATTTTAGAATGCAAAGTGACTGGGAGACAGAGGTGTGGGGAGAGAGGAACAGGTCAGGGTGCAGGTGGGGCCAGAGCATCCTAACGTCTGGTGTCACTGCTTCATGGTTGTAGGTGAGGCAATTCATTTGGCTCGGGACTTTGCGTATGTCTGTGAAGCAGAGTTTCCAAGTAAACCGGTGGCTGAATATTTAACCAGACCTCATCTCGGAGGACGGAATGAGATGGCAGCGCGGAAGAACATGCTGCTGGCTGCACAGTAAGTATCCAGGCTTGAATCTAATGACTTTGACCTTGAAGTTGAAAGGCCAGCAGCACCCACCCCTCTCTGGTGCTCAAGAAAGAAATGCGCGTTAAATAAATTAGGGCTTGGTGAGCAAAAGAAAGTGGCAAGGAGCTTCTTGGACCAAGTCAAATACGTTCACTTTGGGGTGGGTTTTAAGTAAAAGGAGTGTATTGCTCCAGTAATGAGTGGTTTGTGGGTGTTTTTTTTTTGAGCTGCTTGGTTATTGAGGTCAAAATAGTTCAACTACCCTTCTGTTATCATATTTGCATGTCTTACGAAAATGTGTTGAAAAGAATTTGTTTTGTCACATCCAGTAGAGATTGTGCGCCTTCTGCCTCCTGGTAACAGGACTTGTTTCTTGTAATGATCATTGAATTTGTTAGGAGACAAGTGGGCAAATGAAATGTCTCAAAAAAACGACATCGCAGCTGCAGGGTTTCTCATAGAAACCAACAGTACATTGGTTTAAAAATCATGGTAAATGAAGCATAACTAGTGAAGTCAGGAAACGGAGCAAAAGGGAGGGGGGACCCTGGGTAAAAAGAGTGAGTTTCAGGGAAATGTGTCCTTCTCCATATTGGTTTATTGAGCCAACCTGTACCCAGCATCCCTTAGCCTCCTGGGCTGGAATCCTGACCCCTCTTACCAGTCCTGGTGACCTTGGCCAGTGGACTGGATTTAATCCTGTTATCTTTTCTCATTGTGGTGAGGATTAAATAAAAGTGCTTGAAAGGGGTTGACTAGCACATAATAGGTGCTAAGTGCGGTGATTGGTGGCTGGTGTTGGGTGTTAGTTTAAAGCCAAGCCCCGTGGCAGTTCTGACTGCCTCCCAGGTGTCACCCTCAAGGCAATCTGTCTCTTATTCTTTACCTGTCAAGAGCTAGGTTGAGCTCACAGGTATGTGTGTTGACTGTCTTCTTCGCAGGCAAGTGTGTAAAGAATTCACGGAGCTTCTCAACCAGGACCGAACGCCCAACGGGAACAACCGGCCCGTCCCGGTCTTGGAGGCCAACATCCAGAACTGCCTGTCTCACTTTAGCCTAATTACCCACGGCTTTGGCAGCCCGGCCATCTGTGCCGCCGTGTCTGCTATGCAAAACTACATCAAGGAAGCCCTGGTGGTCATAGACAAGTCCTATATGAATCCTGGAGACCAGAGTCCAGCCGATTCGAGCAAAACCCTGGAGAAAATGGAGAAGCACAGGAAATGACATGGCATGAACACAGGGCCTAGTGAGTCTGGAAGGAAAAAGTCTCCCAAACCGCTCTCCACCCGGCCCGCACAGACAGCACCTCCTCTTGCCTGGGGGAGAGGTTGAGCTTGTTACCCACCTTCCCATTAAAAAGGCCTCTGTCAATTTCCGGATCTTTACGCGCCCTCCTGGAGTCCTTAGAATTTCTCTAGCGCTGAAGCTCTCCTTAACCCTGGACCAAGGTATCAGAAGGTGACAAGTACTGATTCCTTACTCCTTAAGCTTCTGTGTTACTTTTTTTGAACCCCCTTCCTTTCTCTGAAAAGTGGTGCTACAAGTTTTGGAACCTTTTAAATACATCCCCCGGGCTAACAAACCCACTTTTTTAGCTGGGAAAATGTCAAGTTGATTTCAGATCAACAATAACTTTCAGATCAACAATAATGGCTGGCTTTCGTGGCCACTAAATATTTATCTAAACAAAGGTATTTATCTAGCCTCTTCAGATATCAAAGCCTACACCCAGTAGGAGGCAGAGATTCTATCCGCTTAGCAACTAGTTAGGTGGTATTTGACACATTTTATACCCCCTGTTCGAAGGGGGCCTTCGGGCTTTACAGAACTTGTAGAAACAAAGCCTGCTGATGTGGTTTTTTGTTTTGTTTTGTTTTGTTTTTTAAAATCTTTGAAAGTTAACTCTTCAAATGGGAGACTCTTGAAATGACCTGTTCTTTTAAGGTACTGAAGCTTTATTTGCGTATTTATTTCACATCTTGGTGTTGCGAGTAAACTTGAAAAGGGTAGGCACGAAGCATTTTTTTTGCTGCCTGTTACCCCATCCCGGAGGAGGCGCTGTTCTTTTGAGAAACGGTGCGTTGCGTGTACAGATTTTATTTATGCATAATTTAATCGGGTCTGTAAATACGGGTGCACTTCTTACGACTTTTTGAAAATTGGGATTCCATGTTAATACCTTAAAGGTGAGGGGTCATCTACGACACATGTTTAGGTTTTATTCATATGTACACAGGGTATCGAGAATTAAGAGGACCCTGGGATCTGTTCTTGATGCGAAAGATTCTATTTAATTGAAGCTCTGTTCACATAGCAATAACTTTGTGTCTCATTCCTGTTGGGCCAAACCCAAAGGTGAGTGCGTGGTACAGTGTGTGTGGGTGACATGGAGTTTCGGAATTGAACTCCATGCCTGTAAAATGTTCCCCAAGTAATTGTTGTGTATATGACACCTGTATAATAAAAAGTATTCTCGATAGAAGCTGTGACCGTCTGGTTATAACTTGATTTTTTTTTTTAAAGTCTCAGATGCGTGGCATAAGTGGCAGGGCTAATTTATGGTTTGCCTGGCTTGAGTTAATAGGACTGAGCAGAAGGGTTCTGGGCCAAGGGAAACCTGAAGCTTCATTCACTCTCCCCCGTAAGACTGCTCAGCTGCCCCTAGATTCTGTGTGTATAGGAACATCCTCCTCTCCACAAGGGGTGTTGTTGGGAAGTGTGTGAGGGACAGTTGATTGACAACAGTGAGAGGAGCCAATAGTTTGAGAATAATGTCTCTTGTGTAAGGCTGCCCTGTTGAGAAACACTGTTTTCTGCAGCCAAGTTGCCACCTCAAAATATTGAGAATGGAAATGAAATGGATGTAGGTAGGTAGTCCTTGGGCAAACATGCCTTAGGAGAACTTGGCATTCAGTCAAATGCAGGCACTGGAGGTGTATGTGGGCTTCTCGCTGTTTTCAATCAATCGAAATGCTCCATCTTTGGAACTGCAATAACGAGCATCTCTCCAAGGCAGGCTCATTTTGTCTGCAGGTAAATTAGAGGTTGGGTCTCTGCACTCTGCTTGGGGAGCAGGAGCCTGGCAGGGCTCACCTTGCTGGGTATTTTGAGGATCTTGGATGCACACCGCCGGTACTTGATTTCAAGTTGAAGTGGCCTGGCATGTCCTCCAGGAAGTGATATGTTTATAGTTTGGCAGGAGTGGCCGGGCTTCAAAGGAAAGTGGGAGCAAAAGGATTTTCCACATTGGATAAGGCCATTGCTTCAGCTTCAGTCTCATAATCCTTAATTCATAGCTCCACCAAATGCTCAGCAATTCCTGACTTAATGTTGGCATTGGATGTTATTAAGTAATTTAAACTCTGCCAACCTAATACTTTGCTCTTGGCAGCTTGGCCTTGGCCACTGAATGTTCTCATTTACTTGGGTTTATCTGGTTGATAATGTCAAAAGCACAATTGCTTTGCTCTAGCGCAGCGAAAAGAGGTCTTAGGCTGGCAGTTATTTCTCAATGAAGACGTGAGATATTGGGTGTTAAAAGGAAGTTATGGGGACAAAGGGCCAAAGGTAAAAGGACTATTTTGTTATCAGCATCTTAAACTCGGTTTTGGACTACAGTCTGGCTTTTAGGAGCTGTGCCGAGTTGCAATGCAGACAATGTTCTGGAAACGCCCCAAAGTCAACCAAGGATTGAAGTGAGTCATAAGCAGGCTTATGCCTGGCTCAGGGCTCACTTCTCCCTTCTCAGTCCCGGGACAGCCACTGACTTTTCTGGGCCCAGTGCACAATAATACCAGGGGTTTCTTCCTAACACTTCTGAGGTGATGCCATGCAAAACAAGCACATCCCCTCAAGAGGACCCTACGGAAACGCTGGCTGCATCAGGTGGTTCCCATCAAGCGCTGGTTGATTTGTGAGCAGGGTGCCCTGCCCTTTGAGCACTTGCAACTCCAGTGGCCCTAGCCTGAGGCACTTGGTACACCTTTGCTTCCCCTGGGCCAGGGTGGTTTTACTTTTAAGCCCTGTGTTAGTGAAATGGCACTTTTTCCCAGCGCCCTGTGCCCTGTTTCACTCTGGCTGTTTGACAGATGGGGCTTTTTAATCAGGCACACGACACCGCTGAAGCCTTTGCCCTCTGGGAGAAGAAATGAAGATACTTCCTTTGTTTTCCTGGTTGCACCGAAGGAAAACCCATCATTGTCTGAAGGCACGCAGCTAAAATTCCCTTTAGGAAAGAGATTCCTCAGCAAGACTGCATCTGTCGGCTGGAGATGTGCCCATCCCAGGCACCTGGCTCCTTGAAAATGCCCTTCTGCTTTACGAACAGCACAGTTAGAGCGAACAGCACAGTTAGAGCGTCTCTGGAAGGTCAGAAAGGGTGTTTTCAATAGCCCGTCATGGCTGTTATCTCCCACGTGTGGACAATTTGTTGTGGGTTAGGAAAGAGATGATTAATCTGTTTCTCATTTTCAACCATTCCATAACAATGGCCATTATTCTTTTCTTTTGGGGGGTCTAGTGTCAGGGTGAGCTCTACAGTTCTCATATTTGAACACTAAAAACCAAAACAGGATAGGGCCGTGGATGGGTAAGAGACAGAGTCATTCCTCTCTCAAGGCTTAGCGGTTGGGGGGCTCTGGATGTATTACCTAATTTCTGGCGGGGGGGGGGGAAACCTTGGTTACCAGCTGTCATGAATTCCTGTAGAGGTTGCCGTCACTTCTGAGGACTTCTGAGTATTTATTTCTCCAGGCTTTTCCTTTTGCTGGGGGGTGGGGGGCAGCGTGGCTGTTGGTGGCAGTTGAATTTGTCTTCCTTTACAAGAGGGTGGAGAACCTGGAAACTAGCGACCAGTGGTCACCAAGGGAAGAACAGTCTGAGGTTCCTTTAAGGATGCATTCCAGGTAAGGGAGCTTTCTGGCATGACAGTGCCCTTAGCAAACGTCTTCTCCAGCCTGCCGGAGCTCAGTGGACAATGAGGGTTTTCCCCGTGGCTGGAGATGAGGAAGGTTTGCTTTTGAAACTCGTATGCTGCAACGCACAGGTGTGCTCTTCCCAGGGGTGCTGTTGTATCCTCGATGTTACGATAATTGTTGACTCCTTTCTCAGACCTCACGATACCTTGGATTTTCTCTTCCAGTTGACAGTCTTCATTTGCTTTTCTAAAATTTGAGGGCCACCATGCCAGGGGCTTGGTGACACTTGGAGCCATCAAAATCTGACCCCTTCCTGGTTTTGCCAACCCAGGCTGGCATCATGCCCAAAATTTTCTGATATAAGTCATACCACACCTTGAGAGTCTTTTTCTGCTGGTAACATGAAACATAAGCTTATGCAGAAACAAACTTGACCTCATGATTTCAAAAAATGACTATTACATTGGAGTCCATAGTTTCATGGAATGCTCAGGTATTTTTGGCACCATCATAAGCACTGTAATTTCCTGCCTCTTTTGGATAACACCTTGATGGGGGAGATGGGTGGAAGAAAAACATGGAAACAGTAGGTTTGAGAAGCATAATTCCAGGAAGCTATTCAAGGAATAGCTTTGTGAAGAGTGTTTACAAAGTGTTTTTTTCATGACACATGGATTGTTCCTGGGGTTTCTCAACATTTTCCAAGGAAAGGTCTTCGTCTTAAGGAATGACAATCACAGGTGACAGCGGATAGGTTGAAGGAGGGTGTTCTGGAATCTGGCCCTTGCAGAGACTAGAAGTCTTTGGGACTTCATGGGTGGTATGGGTTGAATTGTGTACCCCAAAAATGTATGTCCAAGCCCTAACCCCAGTACCTCAGAATGTGACCTTACTTGGAAATAGGGTTGTTGGTAATGAAATTGAGGTCATATTGGAGTATAGTGGGCCTTAATCCATATGATCTATGTTCTTACAAGAGGAAAAGGGGTGACACTGCCACAAGAGTGGGGGAGGCCGTGTGATGACAGAGGCAGAGGTTAGAGAGCTGCAGCCACAAGCGAAGGGACAATGAGGATTGCTGGCCACCACCAGAAGCTGGAAGAGGCAAGGAAGGACCCTGCCTTCCAGATTTCAGAGGAAGCACAGCCCTGCTGACACCCTGACTCGATTCTCATCTCCAGAACTATGAGACAATACGTTTCTGTTCAGTTGCCCAGTTTCTGGTACTTTGTTGTGGCTGCCCTACAAAGCTAACGTGATGGGAAAGGACGCTTTCCTTCGTTATTTCCTTCCCATTGATCAATCTGTGGATTCTTTTCTAAACGTGGGGTGTCATCTCTGCACAAAGCATGAGAAAGCCACCTCCATGGCCTGGCCACCGGTTCTGGTCCATGTAACGTCACAGAGGCTCGTCACTGTTAAATGGAATGTCATTCCTGCTTGTTCGTTCTTAAACTAGGCTGATGCACAGTGACATTTCCTGGTGGCCAGGACATTAGCCAGTGACCCGATCTTTCAGCTTCTTGGGGAGGAGTCACCCCAACATCTCTGTCCAAAGCAAAGCCTAAACTCTTGGAGGCCTTTTTCACTTTTCCATTTGTTTGTTTCATTTAACTGGGCTCCTCTGGGTACCCCAACACTGACCCCTGAGCAGTGGCTGCTAAGCCTGGCAGGTCATCAGAGGCACATGGAAGGATTAAATATTGATGCCTTCGGTTGCCTTTGCCCTAGACCCAGAAACCCTTCACTGCTCAGGGCCACCTGGGCATCCAGAGAGGACCTACCAAAGGGAGGCCTCCCTCTGTTCTCCCGAGCTAAGCTGGTACACACGAGGCATTGCTACTGGCATCTAGTGAGTAGAGGCAGGGGTGCTGCTAAACATCCCACAGTGCCCAGGACAGCCCTGCAATAAAGAACGATGTGGCCCAAAACGCTAATAGTCCAGAGGTTGAGAAATGCCATAAACAGAGAAAATCTGGAAGAATTGCTCACACCGTCAAGAGAATTTACTTCAGTGCAGTGCATTATCAGCTCATGTTTTACCTGATGTGTCTATCGTGTGTAAAAATTGTAAAAACAAATATGCATTACTTTCATAAATAAGAAAAGAACTGACATCATGTTTATACAAATGATTACATGTTAAGTGAATAAAAAAATAAATGTTTAAAGCAACGAGTAAAGGAAGCTTATGCAAAGTTGACATGACAGGGAAGGACCTGCATCCCTGGGTGGCTGTTTCCTGGCTTGGAATTGGGGGCTGTGGTTTTCTCCCCAAAAACAGTTTTCTGGAGGAGAGGTGAGGGAAGACACGAGGACATCCCTCCCTTCCCCAACGGGGGCTTCATTCCCTCCTGTTTCTTTTCCCCTTTGGCCTGAGAATACTGAGTTTCTGTGAGCAGGAGACATTGTGCCATCACTGACATCCGTGAATATTCTTTCCCCACAAGACAAAAAATTCCGCAGTGGAAGGCACCAACTCTTTTAAGAAACTTCAGAAAAGGCAGAATTTTCTCAACTCTTAATTGTTGTTTTCCCTAGCCATTGTTGCTAACTAGTTCT